CTACAAGAATGGAGGGTAAAGCCTCCTCCACAATCTCATCTACAATATCCACAAATAAGCACTTCTCTCTCTTATGGGGTTATTGGGATGTTTGGAAAATATTAAGTTTCACTTGTATATTCCTAAATGAAACTTTCATAGCCCCGGTAAGACAATTTGTGCATGCATTGGCCGTAGCCAAGAAATGTCGACCTAAGATCACTAGGATTTGCTTCTTAGAGCTGGCTACCAGTTCCATATCTAAGACCAAAAAGTCAACAGGAAAATAAAACCTATCGACCTTTACTAGCACATCCTCAATCATGCCACGTGGCACTTTGAGGAATTGGTCAGCCAACTGGAGAGTAACAGTAATGGGTTTTAACTCGCCAAGCCCAAATTCTTCTTACACAGAGTGCGACAACAAATTAACACTAGCCCCTAAATCTAACAAGGCCCTATCAATGAAATGGTCTCTTATAATGCATGTAATGGTTGGGGCACCCAAATCTTTAAGCTAAGGGGGTGTGTCATTCAACAAGATAGAACTACTTGCTCCATGAGTATGACCTTTTGGGACACGTGTGTCCTAGATTTACACTTTTGCGTGCAAAGGTCCTTCAGAAATTTAGCATAGGAGGATACTTGCTTAATCGCCTCCAACAAGGGGAGGTTGATTTTAACTTGTTTAAAAACCTCCATTATTGCTTCCATGGATGTCGCATTCTTATTGAAAGGGGACGGTGTCTTAAGGCATTAGGGAAAGGGTGCCTTAGGCTCATGTGAAGTGCTAGGGGCTAAGTTACCCCCTTAGGTATCTCGCCCTCACCCTTGCTCTCTTTGGGTTGACCACCGTGATCACCTTTCTTAGCCTTAGTTGCATCAGATGTAACCGGGCGAGGCTTTAACTCTCTCCCACTTCTCAAAATAATCATTGCTTGCACTTGCTCATGGTGCTTTCCATTCCGACCCAACCCCTCTGTCCCATATTGACCTGGGTTCGGTCTCGGCAATGGCGCCAAAATTTGATGGGTCGTTACACACACCAAAATTAACAGTAAATTATACCAAATTCTTTTAGAATAATGGCAAGTCCAGGTATCGATCCACATGGACAATTGTGAAATCAGACTAATTTAATTACTAAATTCCTAAATTAATTTTGATTAAAAAGATTGAGAGATTTTATGACTAAACAGGAATTAAATGAAATTGAGAAATTAAATTGACAATTAAAATTAGGGTTTGAGAGATTGATTTTTGGGAAAAAAAATCCTAGGGCAAAGAATTCACCACTAACCATATAAACGAGATTAAACATCGGCCAATAATTGCAATTCGGTTTGAAATACCCAATATTTCACAATTACAAGTTTGAAATATTGATCAAGAGGGTTGTTGCATTTAACGTACAGGCACAAATCATCCCGAGTAGCACGATGCGTTTGCTCTAAACTACGGTAGCAACACGACCCATCTCTCGTAGCATGACTCGTCTCGTACTTTGAATACAAATACAAAGAAAACTAATGTATGGAAAGCATTAAACAATCGCAGAGAGTAAAATACTTAAAGAGATGAAAACAATAATGATTAAAAACTTCTAAATCATCCATACATTAACTCAAACCGATTCACAATCAAAGCTTATGAAAAATCCTATTACATGGCTAGGGTTTCATCAAAATCTTAGAAAAGAAAACTAGCCACTCATGGAGGAGTGGGAAGAGGAAGAAGATGATGAAGAAGCCCCCATGGAAGTTGTCCTTTAAGCTTGAGAAAACATCACCTTTTCAAAACCCTAGCCTCCTTTTCCTTAGAATAAATTTCAGAACCCTAATCCAGCCTCTTTTTTGCTTTTTTATACCTCTGCTGTCTTTTAAATAGATTTAAAACATTGGGCCCATTTTTCGAGAAAAGTCAACGCACATGCGAAAAAGTCAACGCATGTGCGGAAAAAGTCAACACACATACATGAAGCTCTTTTTTCTCAAAATTTTGTATCTTTGCCCATTTTATGCTCTGACTATGTGCAACCTGATTGACATTAAACAAACATAACATAAAATATATAATTTGACAAACAAATAAAGTTAAGAGATCATAATTAACAGCCTCAATGTTGTACAATTCGGCCTTAATCAGAACTTATAAAAGATTGACCTAAATAGACTCTTAATCCAATTTCCATGAACTTAAATATTTAGATGCTAAATAGTGATGCCATATTAATATACACAAAATTTTAAATTTTATTGACGTGTCAAAATACTTTATTGTTGTATAGTTAGGGAGATTGATGCATTAGTTTTTAATCAATAGATCTTATCTTACTTGAGAATGCTATCTTATTTGTCAAATAAATTAATTTTTTTTTTTAAAGAAAACAAACTATTTTCATTAATAAAATTGACATTTAAATTACAATCAAATGAAATATAATTTTATAATCTATTTTATTTTAGAATTAGTTAAAAAGGTAGTTTTTGTTTTTTCACTACAACAAAAAGCATTTTTTGCGACGTTTTTTAGCAACAAAATTGAATTTGGTTGCCAATTGTATTTTTTTGGCGACAATATACGTGTTGGTCGCCAAAAAATACACCATTAGCAACAAATATCTCAATTCGTCTCGAAAAATGGTTGGCGCCAATTTAATTTTTCGCGCGGGAGCGCTAAAAAAGTTTTGGCGACGAAATTAATATATGGCGACGAAACTGTTTGTCGCCAATTTGCGACTTTTTGACGACAGAATTAAACTAGTCGCTGAAAGGTGAGTGATATTTATGGCAACAAAATGATTTTCGTCGCCAATAAATTTCTTGTCAAAACGACGTCGTTTTGAATCTGTCTTTTTTTTTCTTTTTTTTTTCTTTTTTTTAAATGACTTTTAAGTGAATAAACAAAAGTGACCTAAAAGGAGACTTCTTCATCTTCTCATTTCAAAACCTGAAGCGGCACAAATAGGTATGTTTTCTTGGGTCTAACTTGGACTTAGAATAGCAATACTCATCAATCAAACTTAAGTATTCTTTAAGGAAAAATGATATATAAGCCCATTTTTTAGATCCATTTTTTTATATCCAATGATGTGTAAATGAGATAATTGAGTGATACTTAAAGAAGATATGAGAGAGAAATAACCTATGAGAGTGATTGATTGATTGATCATTGGACTTGAAAAATTAATCTAATTTTTTGGTTTGAATCATATTTTAAAATTCATTGGGCAAAATGTAATATTTTATGATGATAATCTCTGTTCTTGTGATTGATTTTGGAGCTGTGAGAATTTTGGTGTCTGTCTCTGTCTCTGTCTTTGTTCTTTTTTATTTTTTTATTTTTTTTATTTCTTGGTGATGTATTATATAGCATTAGAAGGCAAAAAGGTAAATGGATGTTACCAAGAAAACAGAGATCAAACTTAAGCTCGTTTGTTTAAGTGAAAGTTATTTTTTATTTTCTGTATTTTCTATAGTTTTTTATGAAGGAAAACAAAAGTTAACAAAAAAATATATTTTTTATAGTCAATGAAAAAGAATTTGTTTGGGTGAAAAATATTTTTCATTGTTAAAAAGTGAAAAAATATTGTTTGGATTAATATTTACCACCGCTGTCAGTGTGTCGATGAGGCCCATCGATTGTGAGCACACAGCATGACATGGCATTAAGAAGCATATGTTAATGGGATATTCAAGAGCATTGGCTGAGATCATCTTTGCCATTGGTTTAGATGGAGTATGCAAAATATGACTCTTGTTTTGTTTTGTTGGGTATGTGAATGAACCAGGGAACTTGCATTTTTTTTGTATTTTTATTCAAGTGGTGTGTCATGAGGGTGGACCACAGTTTTGTGTTGAATATTCTTACAAGTTACAACTATTCATTGCCCAAAAAATTATAGATATTTTGTGTATCGGTGACCCTTTTAATAATTTCATCATATAACATTCATTTCATGTCCACTCTCCATTAATTTCATGTACAGTGCAATTTAATTTAAACTTTGATTTACAATTCAAATGTTATAGGTTATTGGCTAATGCGAAGAGATAAAAAAGCTGCAATCATTCGTTGGGGGCAATTACTACATCAAGTAAGCTTTGACTATATTTTAGGGCATTTTAAATTTATTTATCAAGTTAGTCATTTTAGTTTCTACACCTATGATCTTGAAACTATATAACCTTATTAAATTTAATAAGTCTAGTTGTCAAAAAAAATGGGACTAGATACGTCATTTAGACAAGTCAGGGGTCAGACTCGAGGGAAGAGCATAGCACGTCTCATAGCTAACAATGGTGGTAACAAACTTCATCAGAGGAATCTTATTGACAAACACTTTTGTAAGTATATTTTTCATAATTTACTTTTCAAATCACTACAAGCATTTCATTTAATATGTTTGGTTGTGTTGAACAAACGGGACCTCGATTGGATCTCCGGTTAGAAAATTAGAAGGAAAATTGTAAAACACAAGACTTAAAAGGCCCGTTAGGGGGCCAAAATTGCGAAATGACCACCGGAACCACCAAAACTTGGCATGGACGGATTTTTCAAGCCTAAATAGACTTTGGCAATTATTTGAGACAAATTTGATGCTAATGTTACCAAATAATTACATTCTAGTTGTGTCATCATAAGGGGGAAAAATATAATGCTAGGCTAGACCGGTTGTCTTTCCTTGTATTTAGTTGATGGTGTTATAGTCTAATACCAACATGACAGATGCCTACTGGTTTGCGCTCATATAATCATGCTCTTAAATTTTGCAATGAATTTAGTACTTTAAGAAAGGGAGATATTTCAAGGAATGAACAGAAGTCCAGGGTGTTGAGGTATTATTGAAATACTTAAATGCTTTTGCAAACTTGATACATATGATACATGTTTTGCATCACAAGTCAGTCATCTTATTTATATATTATTTTTTGAAAAGTACTAATCAATCAGGTTAAATTTATAATAAAGTTACACTGTGGACCCAAATAAGTTCAGATAACATGGACATTATGATTTTCCCCTGATATGCTATGAACGACATTGTTACATGTTGCAGCTGATATATTTCATTTTATTGAATTACAGGCTGGTTCAATTCATTGACTCTTATGATCCGCCATTGAAAGGATTACATGAAGACTTGAATTTTGTCAGCCCTCGTATTGGAGAGGTTATATGTCTTTCCTCTTTCTGAAATAATCTCATAAAAAATTCAATTTTCTTCTAATGAAAAAATTGGCTTGGTCTTTTGCTCAACTGTTGGATTCATAATATACAGATTTTCTTTCAGGATCTTTTCACTATGAGCTTTATTAGTAGTTTGGGGTTTTCTGTACTTTTTTGTTTAGTTTCTTTCCGGTCATGGTATTTATTATTGTTTGCAGGTTACTGTTTGACTCTGTCTTAGTTAGAATGATGTGAATAAATTTCAACATATATACAGTTGTTGTGATAAAGGTGGAAGATCCCATGTCCTGGAATCATGTATGTGCCTGCAAGAAACAATGAAATGGACTTATTTACATATGTGACTATTATAGTTGCTTCTTGCTTGCCATTGTTATCTTTTAGTTTTTAGTTTTTTCCTCCAAAAGCGTTAATTTCAACAGTTCTTCACAATTATCATTTTGATTAAACAGCCAATATGCTTTTCCAGGTTTTAGAGGCTGTGGGTCCTATAATATTTCTATCTACAGATACCAGGAAGCTGAGAAATGAGGGTTTTCTGAGTCCATTTCATCCTCGATATCCTGACATTCTTACAAATTCAGCACATCCAATGGTAAATATGTCATTTGCTTGATGCTGAAAAATGTTGGGATGTCCTTAACTTATTGAAATCTCCTTGATATTTCTAGTACTGTTAACTAGGACTGTTCTGTCAAAGAAAAGGATTTTCGTTTATAGCCATACTGCAGTCTCATCACTCATCTCATCTTTACTTTTTTATTTTTCAAAACTTTTATTTTATTTTATGCAGAGAGCTCAAGACTTAGCAAATGTTACTTCTTATCGGGAATGGGTATTACTTGGATATCTTGTTTGTCCTGACGAGCTTCTTAGAGTCACCAGCATCGACATTGCTTTAGTAAACTTGAAGCAGTTTTTTTTGTTTCTCTTGTTATTACTCGAAAGAGTTTATTTAAAGGGGAAATTACAATATAGATCCTAGGGTTTGACCCTTGTCACAAGTTAAACCCTAAGTTTTTAATTTTTTTAAAAGCAAACCTTGAATTTTTAAAGAAGTTGCAATCTTAATCCGTCTATCGCCATTAATTATTCATAACAGAAAACTTTTCTGTTATGAATAATTAATGGCGATAGACGGATTAAGATTGCAACTTTGAAGGAAAATTTAGTTCTTACATTGTTCAGAGATGAGGTGAATTCTACAAGTCACTTATTATAAACGTGGTATTTACTGAGTATTCACCCAAAAAAAAGAGAAGATATTTACTGACCTAGTTTATCATTGCTACATATTAAATGTGCTTACCGAGCAAGTTAAATCATTGTTATATACTAAATGTGCAGTATGTACTATTGCATGAGGATTATCAATTATATGTGTTGCCACGGATGTTGGAGTCAAAGAAGATGGCAAAATCTGGACGTACAAAGCAAAAAGAAGCAGATCTGGAGTATATTGTTGCAAAGCAAGTTGAGAAAATGATAAGGTATAACTCAAACAATAGATGTTATATTTGAAAAGCATTGCACTTGGCATAAGATTTACAGGGCAATAAAGAAAATTACAATCTATGAAGGGATTTAACTAATTTGGGGGATGTTTTCTTTCTCTTTTTTCCCAAATTGTTGTTTAAGTGCATTTTATATCATACATGCACCAAAGCTCCAGTATTTCCCTTATGTTCTAGGAATGCAGAGATCGTTGCTAACTATCATTTTAAACTAGTACAAAAAGTGTTACTATCAATGATTCCATTTTTATGGATCATATCATCTGTATTTTCACCATAAGAAAATTTCTATAATTCTTGTTACAAAATTATATCAGATTAACTTCATTACATATTACCAATCTGCTTTGTTCCTTCTGATGCTTGTGGAACCATAGCTGTCAAATATTACATTGTTTAGTTTCTTTTGATAATTTCAGCGAAGTGCATGAACAAGCATTATTCTCTTGTGATGCCATACACTGAGAAAGGAGAATATTATTAAAGCAAGAGATTGGAAGAATGGTGCTTTTTTTTACTGATCAGCCAAGTTTGTTGGCTCCTAACATTCAAGTATATTTTATTTTAAAATCTTCAAGTATGCGATGCAATTTAATCATTTAAAAGATGTTTCTTCATTATAACTTTCTAGGGTAATTTTTTTGGAAGCTAAATTTTGGCTAAATTTTATTCCATGAGCTCTCTTCTCTTGTTTAGTCAAAGATAAAATTTCCTCAATTTAAAAAAAGAAGAAAAATAATTTTTGAGTCTAAAAAGTTGGGAAGAGAGAAGTGCAAATGTTTTGGCAAAGGAAGTGGTAGATGTTTATGAGATTATGGTTAGTGTGTCCTTTCCCCTTTTTAATCACCAAGCTTTGTGTTGCTTCCTGACTGCTGTCTCTAATGTGTGATGTCATTCACTTTTTTACATCAATGACTATTTTTCATGCTGGATGAGGAAAGATGAAAAATCCTGTTGCAGTGAGTCACAATGTTGGAATGACTATTAAATTGCCATCAAATGAGCTAAAAATATATTTCAGGAAGTTTGTCCTAGTTTTTTAATGTTCTGAATCAATTAAGATACTAGTTTGATGTTATTTGGTGAATATGATTACTCTTTAAATTATGTATGATGTTTAAGAACCCTATGAATTATTTCTGTACTAACGTGGACACTTCTAGAACAATAATCCTTTCTGTTTTCAGTGATTTATTTCACAAAATTTATATTAACAAATACCTGCTACATCTTGATTGAATTTATCATAATTGATGCTCTGCATTGCATATTTTCATCTAGAATACCAGGACTCTGAGTGGTCTACAGAATGACAGTTGCTTTAATGAGTACAGGTTACTAAAATTGGTCGAGATGCAGTCCTGTATGTCGAGTCTCTTTTCTTGTATAAAAAGCTCAATGCCAATGTATAAGCTAGACAAGATGCAAGGGGAACAACAAAGTAAGGGTTGCAGGTCACTGGAATTGGCGTTTTGCATTCTTTGGGGAGGCAATTGTGATGGTTCCATTTGCTATTCTGGGTTTTGTTATAAAACCTTTACAGTTGAAAGGTATATGTTGTGTTAGTTTTAATTTTTTTTTTTTTATGTAATCTATTACCATTTCCTAGCTATTCTTAACAACTTGTGGATACAGGTTTTTACCCTGCTGGATCAAAAAAAGCATTGACTGGTACAGAGATAGCTGTCATAGAACTTAAAGGTGTGACACGTTATGATTACTGTGCATGGGATCTTTTCAGTATAATTGCACTTTTTTCTTCTCTCTTTTCAGTTTACTACATCACTATTATGTAAGAACCAATGTGCAAAAGCCAAGATAATGGGTGCTATTGAGAACATCTACAGTAATCCAATATACATCAAGCACCTGCCACTAATAGCTTTGACAATCTTGTTCCCACAAAATAATGCCTCAATTTGCCCAGTTTAAATATTTTTATTGATTTCATTTGAATCCATAATAATCAACTTGATTTGAAGAGATTGAGAAGTTTATGAGGAAGACCAAGGATCAAGCAGGCATGCAGGTTGATGAAAATGATTATTCATCAGAGGAATCTTATTAACAAACACTTTTGTAAGTATATTTTTCATAATTTACTTTTCAAATCACTACAAGCATTTCATTTAATATGTTTGGTTGTGTTGAACAAACGGGACCTCGATTGGATCTCCGGTTAAAAAATTAGAAGGAAAATTGTAAAACACAAGACTTAAAAGGCCCGTTAGGGGGCCAAAATTGCGAAATGACCACCGAAACCACCGAAACTTGGCACGGACAGCTTGTTCAAGCCTAAATAGACTTATAGGAAAAAACGGGACCTCTATTGGATCTCCGGTTAGAAAATTAGAAGGAAAATTGTAAAACACAAGACTTAAAAGGCCCGTTAGGGGGCCAAAATTGCAAAATGACCACCGAAACCACCGAAACTTGGCACGGACAGCTTGTTCAAGCCTAAATAGACTTGTAGGAAAAAACGGGACCTCGATTGGATTTCCGGTTAAAAAATTAGAAGGAAAAATGTAAAACACAAGACTTAAAAGGCCCGTTAGGGGGCCAAAATTGCAAAATGACCACCGAAACCACCGAAACTTGGCACGGACAGCTTGTTCAAGCCTAAATAGACTTGTAGGAAAAAATGAGTCCTCGATTGGATTTCCGGTTAAAAAATTAGAAGGAAAATTGTAAAAAACAAGACTTAAAAGGCCTGTTCGGGGGCCGAAATTGTGAAATAACCACCGGAACCACCAAAACTTGGCATGGACGGATTTTTCAAGCCTAAATAGACTTGCAGGAACAAACGGGACCTCGATTGGATCTCCGGTTAGAAAATTAAAAGGAAAATTGTAAAATACAAGACTTAAAAGGCCCGTTCGGGGGCCAAAATTGCGAAATGACCATCGGAACCACCAAAACTTGGCATGGACGGATTTTTCAAGCCTAAATAGACTTGCAGGAACAAACGGGACCTCGATTGGATCTCCGGTTAGAAAATTAAAAGGAAAATTGTAAAATACAAGACTTAAAAGGCCCGTTCGGGGGCCAAAATTGCGAAATGACCATCGGAACCACCAAAACTTGGCATGGACGGATTTTTCAAGCCTAAATAGACTTGCAGGAACAAACGGGACCTCGATTGGATCTCCGGTTAGAAAATTAAAAGGAAAATTGTAAAATACAAGACTTAAAAGGCCCGTTCGGGGGCCAAAATTGCGAAATGACCATCGGAACCACCAAAACTTGGCATGGACGGATTTTTCAAGCCTAAATAGACTTGCAGGAACAAACGGGACCTCGATTGGATCTCCGGTTAGAAAATTAAAAGGAAAATTGTAAAATACAAGACTTAAAAGGCCCGTTCGGGGGCCAAAATTGCGAAATGACCATCGGAACCACCAAAACTTGGCATGGACGGATTTTTCAAGCCTAAATAGACTTGCAGGAACAAACGGGACCTCGATTGGATCTCCGGTTAGAAAATTAGAAGGAAAATTGTAAAAAACAAGACTTAAAAGGCCTGTTCGGGGGCCGAAATTGTGAAATAACCACCGGAACCACCAAAACTTGGCATGGACGGATTTTTCAAGCCTAAATAGACTTGCAGGAACAAACGGGACCTCGATTGGATTTCCGGTTAAAAAATTAGAAGGAAAAATGTAAAACACAAGACTTAAAAGGCCCGTTAGGGGGCCAAAATTGCAAAATGACCATCGAAACCACCGAAACTTGGCAC